TTTTAAAAAAAAAAAGTGTGAAATGTATAGTAATACTGTACCTGTTTTCTAGATTAGCGCACACAACTTTAATAGGTGAGGCCTCTACTCCTTGGAAATTTTTTACACCAATATAGCTACCCCAGTGCAAACCTGAGCATAGATGTGCTGCACCAGAGCAAAGAGCACTTCTTTGGTGCATCCTGCTCTGGTGTGAAAACAAGAAAAGCCATACCAGTGCAAGACATTTTTTATGTGAGTGCAAAGCTCCTCAGGGTAGACCTGGCTTTAGCTTCTGAAGTGTTGGTTTGACTAGCTAATGCCATAAATTATCCATCAAGATTACAGGTTAGAAGTGAAAGGCCTTGGGTGTCTTTTAGTTCAATTTTCTCAAAGCTGTCACTCACCTGAAAGCAACAGGTCAGGACAATAAATTAATATTAATAAAAAGGCATTGTAACATGAGATGCCAAGCCACCAAACTTGTCCCAGACTTTCTTTGAAAGTCATATGATTTCTGGCTTCATAGAAACTAAAGCCTGAAGTGTGTAACATTTGGTTTCTTAAAAAAAATGTTTTTTATTTCTATGCAATGAAAAAACGCCATACTTCTGTATCCTCAGCTCCATACACACTATACAGTATTTATAGACATTGTTGAAACAACTGTTTGCTGTGTCTGTATTTTGAGGTAGTTACTTACATATGAACAACTTTCAAATCTGCAACTCTAAAGTGATAAGAACTGACAATGCAATTTACTTTGCCTTAATGAGTTTGAGACAATAATATAAAAACAATATTATGTTGAAGGGAACTTGCAGTTTTCACTTAATGTTTACTACTGAATTTTGATGGGCTCACCCATAGCCTGGATAGAACATATGCTAAAAGCCAAACTTTCGTATTTTTTCATTTTTTAAACAAAAAAATTAAAATTTACTTATTTAAACTATTTCAACACACATGCAAATATTAAAAACCCTCTCTCAAACTAGCAAAAAAAAAATTCTAGAAAAGTTGCATTTTGTTTCTGTGGGCAAGGCTGGGAAGTACAGTCTTGTCTGCTTAATATTCATAGGGTAACTATTATTAAACTGAATTTTTATCTAGTGAGCTTCTTCAGAAATGTTCATTCCTATACGCAAAATTCTTGTCTTCAAAAATATTTCCTTTATGTAAAGTTAAGGCTGATAAATGTGCACTTAACTGTTTTTTAAAAATTACCTTTCAGGTTCAGACTCAGAAAAAAGCCTGAGTAAATGGATGGAGGTGGAGCTTAATGCAGAAATGTTTGAAGATCCAGTACTATCCCTAAATAAATCAACCTGAGTTGTGGCTTCTGAGTAACTAATCTGTTCAGTTTGTACCAAGAACAACCAAAGTTGGTGAGCCTAAATAGAGCACTTTAATTATATAAACCATTTAAAAAGGCACAAGTCCATCTTTCCCCTCAAATTGGTCCCAGCCTAAGTTACTGAAAGAACCCGTTTCTGTATGTTCAAGTACAGAAAATACACAGAATAAGCTTTTTAGTCATACCTTTGCCCTAGAAGTGTAAGAGGGTCTAGTTCTCAAACTAGATTGCACTATGGATAACTGACACTTTTTAAAGTGCAAGAGAGAGAATTGCCTTGTCATTCTCTGTTTTTAATCTCAGCATTATAGGAATAGGGTGGATGGTCATAACTTTAAGCTTCCTTATTTGGGAAGGGGATATAGAGTAAGAGCAATTTCAGAATAGTTTTTCTGATTTTCAAGCATTAATGAAAGAAGTAATAGGAAGATAATGAAACCAGAATTACCAACAGTTTCCTGACACTTGCAGTCCAATTTGAAATTAAGCATTAGAGGTTAATATGTCATGTTGGAAACATACCACTGGAGGGTCAACAAAGAAGATTTGCATCAGGAAGCAGGTATTAATAGGATTCCTTAGTAACTTTACCTTTACTGTAGTAATGTCAGGTTTCTGTTCTGTGAAACTTCTCAAACTGCATTAAAAACATGACCAGTAAAAATTCAGCCAGAAACTAAGTGAAGGACTTCCTGAAATAATAGTATAAACCAACATTCTTACCTCAGCTTGAGTTTCATGCCATTTACTGCTTATTCGTAAATACACTGAGGGTACGTCTAGACTACATGCCTCTGTCGCCAGAGGCATGTAGATTAGGCTACCAGACATAGTAAAATGAAGCGGCGATTTAAATAATCGCCTCTTCATTTAAATTTACATGGCTGCCGCGCTGAGCTCCCCCAGCCCAGGGGCAGCCATGGCTGCATAGAGCCCCGTGGAAAGTGTCCGGGAGGAAGCGCCGCGTCCCGTCTGCCTGGAGGATTTCACAGCCCCTGTCACTCTGGAGTGTGGGCACAATTCCTGCCAGGCCCCCCTCAGACTGATCAGCTGTTTGTCGGCTCAGCGCGGCAGCCATGTAAATTTAAATGAAGAGGCGATTATTTAAATCGCCGCTTCATTTTACTATGTCTGGTAGCCTAATCTACATGCCTCTGGCGACAGAGGCATGTAGTCTAGACGTACCCTGACATTTAATTTATGGTATTTGGCAGAGAAACCACACTAATCCTACTCTACCCAGTACAAACTAAATAAAAATGGAGCAGTTCTTGCAGTTTCACAATATCAATCCTACAGAAAATGTATTAGAGGTCACTTAAAGCCATGGATTCTGGAAGTGGTCTAGAATTCCTTGGGGAACCATTGAGTCCTATTTTGTTGGAAGTAAGCCTACTTTCCGCTTGCAAGAGTTTGGATAATCATATTGCTGGTTGAGGCCAAAGGTAAGTTACTAATACTATAGAAGTACAATACAAACCCTTGGGGACTGTAAAGTCTAACAATAGTAATAGATGCTTTGGTACAGAAACAAAGCAAATCCTGTTTTGAAGTACAACAGCAGCTTCTCTTAGAATAAAGGAAAGTCCTACTCCAATTTGAGCCATTTCCTTTGTCAATTAAAGTATTACAAATTGCATGTATCTTTATAAATATTTTTAAAAATAGTTTTGTAAATATTTAATATTCAGCTAATTTGATTTTGAATTGTAAATGTCAAGTATTCTGGTATTGGAATTTTTATGTTTTATTATACTTTGTTAAAAGTAAAATTGTACATTTTTAGAATGTTTTTATCTAAGTAAATTTAATGTATGAAAAATAAAAAAAAGTTCAAGTCCTTACATGCTTTTAAAAGGCTTTCTCCCTTTTGCTTTTCTCCCAGCTGAAGTTGAAAACTCTTAAATTCATTCAGAATCATTTTACAATTAACCCTCAATCTAACTATTCTCATCTGCTAATGAATTAGACAGACCTTACATTTTTTGTCTCAATGCAATTGTTAGTCTCTAATATTTAAAATTTAAGGATCTGAGTCCAGAACAACTGAGGTTACTCTGCGAGTCTGGTATTGTACTGTCCATAACTTGACATCTTTCCTGAACCTCAGTGCAGCAGACTACGTATTGAACTAGTGAGCAGGGGGGTTCTGCACTGTAAGTTAGAACCATGCTGTGATTTAAAGCATTGAGTCTGGTCTTCACCAGTGAAACACTTAATGGCACTACTGAACACAGCCTTAGCTCTTAAAGCCAGTATTAAAATAGTGTTTTAGAAGAATTGTTTTGTACTGTAAGCTACATAAAAACTGTCTGCTTATTGCTTTCTTGCTAGACCCATTACTTTGAAACCCTGCAGCTGAGTCTCAATACTTATTAACACACTCGCTTCTGAATGGATTAAATCAGTGGTTCTCAACATGGGCCATATGGCTCCCCAGGGGGGCATGCCTTACTTCTAGGGGGCCACATGGAAAAAACAGAACATTAGGGGGCCACCCAAACTTAACTGCCAGGCATATGATTAATGAGGCTCAGAAGGGGGCCCATGAGCAAAAAAAGGTTGAGAAACACTGGATTAAATCACTGAAGGCTTAGATTCTGTTACCCTTAGGCCTGTTGTTGTACCTTACTAGTCAGTGCCAGTAAAGCTAGTGGGGACTGGTGGGCTATGTCTACACCGGCACCTTTTTCCAGAAATGCTTAAAATGGAATACTATTCCGTTTTCAGTTTTTCCAGAAAAGGAGCATCTACATTGGCAGGCTGCTTTTCCAGAAAAGCCCTTTTTCCGGAAAAGCGTCTGGCCAATGTAGACGCGCTTTTCCGGAAAAGAGCCCCGAGCGTCATTTTCGCGATCAGGGCTTTTTTCCGGAAAAAGATTACTGGGCTGTCTACACTGGCCCTTTTCCGGAACAGTGTTCCGGAATAAGGACTTATGCCCGAGCGGGAGCAGAATAGTTTTTCCAGAATAGCGGCTGATTTTGTACAGTAGATCGTCGTTGCTTTTCCGGAAAAGCGAGTGGCCAGTGTAGACAGCTCGCAGCTTATTCCGGAAAAGCAGCTGCTTTTCTGGAATAAGTGGCCCAGTGTAGACACAGCCCTGGAGTAAAGGGGTGTAGAATCTCATCTCAAGTGAAACACATTTCTTTAAACTGACATGTATGTTAACTCAGAAAAAGGCTGAATAGTAACTCATGCTACAGATTTAAAACAAGTTAGCCTTGGGATAAAAAGCTAGATTGAGATGCTAAAGTTGGAGTAGTTTTGATTAAAATCTTTGATATAGGAACAGCCATTGTCCCTGCAGAAAATATTCAAGCTGTTTTTATTAGTGTGGTTCTATGTGAATAGTTCATTGTCTTTGCTGTGGAAGAAGCATAATGCATCCTTAAGAACACTGTGGGGGGGACGGACTTCGGGGAAGCTCCCTGTGCCATTCTATTTCTAACGTCTCCCTTTCTATTGTGACAGGGCCCCTCCCTTCTGCAGAGTTATTGTAATATAGTTGTTCAATGTCCTAAGCATCAGATCTACTGACAAACCTATCATTCATCTCTGGATACTGGAATCATACAGTGGCCCCAATACACGTGTCTGCCATTTATTGCTGTTGCATTTAAATAAGATGAGGGCTGTCTCTAAATTACCACTCAAACTATGATTGTCATATCAAGCACTGTATTAATTTTTTAAAAAAGCAACATTTGTACAGGAATCAGTCATTGATCACAGTAATTACAAGAATGACTCATGAGTTAAGACAGTTTTACACAAAATTAAACATAGGACAAGCTGCTTCTAGAGTTTACATTAAGTAAAAAAACAATGAACATTTAAAAATTAAATAAGTATAGTGAACAAGATGCATGCAGAAAGGTGTAGATACAATTTATACACCTGGATGTTGTACAGAGTGCCAAGATGCAGTAGTATTGCTTCTCTCCTGCCTCTCCCCCAGAAGTAAGTAAATTTCCACTTACAGATATAATTAATTCTTACACATGATATACAAGGGTAAATCTCAGCCTGCAAATCTTTACAGCGACTCCAGTGTCAGAACACTGATCCTACTTAGAACCCTCTGCATAGGATGTATCCCTATTCATGATACTAGTAACTCCATGCAATTGGCAGAAGCTTCAGTGATAGACTAGCTGGTTGTTCCTCATAACTTTAAAACAAACTCCTGAATGTGAAATGAGTTTATAAAGCATTTCCCCCATTAGTTATCACCTGAACAAACAAGCAACTGACAGCTAGATTCATGTTTTTAATTGTATGTTTGAATCCAATGTCTTCAGTAGAACAGTGTTTAAACAAAGTTTGTCTTTGAGTTTGACTTTGAGCACTGAAGAGTTTATAAATGACCTTTTAGCTGAGTACAGGGAACAGTAATCAAGAAGAAATAAGCTGGAATGGTGCATCTTAGTAAAACTAAGACCAAGATCGCAATGGGGGCTTTACCCATTTTTAGTGGCTCCATCTTATCACCCAGTCATGTTCATGGAAGCAAATTCTTTTAACCAAACAACCCCCATTATTTTCTGGGAAAAAAGCTGACCCTCAGGTTAGGAGGGACTATCCACTGAAAGCTAGCTCAGAGGGGGCAGCCATTTGTGTCAGTGAAACTAGAAGATTCTTAATAGATAGAGGTTTCTCTTAATGTTAAGTGTGTTCAGGGGCTAGCCTGGAATAATCTTAATATACATCCTTGCTAAAATTAGAGTAAAGCTGTGGGGTTTGGTATGAATAATAATCAAGAACTTGGCATCTTATCTTATGCAGTAGCAATACCAGAAAACTATTACCCCATCACCACTTGCCCTGACTTTCTGCAACTACTGAGGCAAATGCTTCCAGAGATGTACTAAATATACACAAACTTACACTTTAGACCTTTATACATTTGCTCCATGATGGAAAAAGGAACCCTCTTTCCATGAAAAGGAGCACTTTCTAGTTGCTCTAAGAGGAGTAAACAAAGATGTCACACACACACTTTAGTTCGCTACTGGAAACTGCCATTTCCTGCATCACTGAAGTCAGTCAAATGTTTCTTGTGCTAGCAATCTGAATGTGCAAAGTATGGCTCTATTCAGGAAGTCCAGAGACTTAGAACAAGCGTGCCTGTGTGAAATGACAGCAGGTTTTCAAAGCTGGATTAATGCTTGTCTGTACTCGCACTCAGCTGTTTAATATTCACAAACAAGGCAAGGTAAGAGAAGGACACCTGCTACAGCAAAACTATGCTACGGTATTGAGAGAAGTAGGTGACATCCCTTTCTTTTACCTGGGGTGGGCCTGGGGTGTAGAAGGTAAAACCAAAATCTTAGACTAGAAGCCACTTGAATGGCTTACACAGAAGATTGCACTCCAAAAGTTTCCTGAGAGGCATATACCATGTACAGGAATCCATCTTCATCCTTTTCACTTTCGTACACCTCCGATATAGGGGTTGACACGCTCACCATGCTGTGTCCATTCACCAGTAAGAAGAAAGCCTGAGTGGAATTCAGCTGCAGGCGTCGTCTGTTAAAGAAAGAAAGTGCTACAGTAACAAAGCTGTGTGTTACCCCAGTATCCTCTAACAAAAGCTCACTTTGCGCTTGTCTGCATGCGGCGTTAGTGCACGCTGTCTTTGCAAACTTACTCATGTACACGACAAGTTTACTGCTGAGCATTAATGCAGTCCTGTAAGCAGCACATCAAGGCATGCCCACAGGGTCTGTGTGGACTGGTAACGTGCTTGAGAACTTACAGCCCAGCTGTTTTGCACTAACTCACTATGCAGACAAGTCCTGAAATAGAGGCTGTCTCTCTTGTAGGAAGCCTAGATGGGAAAGTTTGCCAAAGATACCAGTGGGGTTATAACAGCATAGTTATAGTGTGACACACCTGCCTATGCAGATACTTATTCCAGTATAAAAGTGCCATTTTTTCGATTTAACTTGTCACTTAGGAAGCGGGTTAAACTAAACTCTGAAAAGGCCCTCTTGCACTCAAGTGTCTATGCAGAGGCTACAGAATAATTATACTGAAGTGTCTAATCTGCATCCCTTTTCCGGAAAAAGGGTGCAGTGTAGACACAGCCCTAGAGCCAGAAACACTTTGGCTGTGTCTACATTGGCACCCTTTTCCAGAAATGCTTAAAACGGAACAGTTTTCCGTTATAAGTGTTTCCGGAAAAAGCGTGTCTACATTGGCAGGTGCTTTTCCGGAAAAGCACTTTTTCCGGAAAAGCGGCCATGCCAATGTAGACGCGCTTTTCTGCAAAAAAGCCCCGATCATCATTTTCGCGATTGGGGCTTTTTTGCGGAAAAGACTACTGGGCTGTCTACACTGGCCCTTTTCCAGAACAGTTTTTCCGGAAAAGCACTTTTGCCCAAACGGGAGCAGCATAGTTTTTCCGGAAAAACAATGACAATTTTACATTAGATCGTCATTGCTTTTCCGGAAAAGCAAGCGGCCAGTGCAGACAGTTTTCAAGTTATTCCGGAAAAGCAGCTGCTTTTCCGGAATAACTGGCCCAGTGTAGACACAGCCTTTATGTAAAAAGGTCCAAAAGACTTGGGCATTTAGGCTTAGTTACGGAACCTCTCATTGTAACAATATGGAACTGGAGCCCAAATTCACCCAATAATCTGAATCCCCATAGTAGCTGGCAGGGTGTTCTCCATTAGGGCCTCAGACCTGTGGAACTCCTGTATGTCTTCAATGTGACACTAAAGTCCACCTTGCCTCTTGCAAAGGAGACAGGTGTTTTGGAGAGCTGTTGGGATAAACCTGAGATTGTGTAGTTAGCTTCTGTTGTTTCTTGATTATCCATTTGATGGGGGGAAGCAGAGAAAATCTTGTTAGTGTATTTTTAAAAGATTGTCAAATGTCCCCAGGGCAGCAGATACCAGTTCTTACAGAAGTGGGTACAAATCCAAAAGTTAGTGTAGAAACTGCTCATTGACTGAAATCAAGTAACTGTAAACAATGAGATTAGGATGGCTTATCTGCAAGCACAATTTGGAAAAGTCAAGCTCTAGAACCTTCAAAGCTGTGGAACAGGAAAGCCAGGTTAGACCCTGACATAAGGATGGAATCATGACTTTCACAAGCACTTGGAAAATTCCATCTTGGCCTAACCTGAACAGCTTTTCGTTTAATATTCCCTGGAAAGCACCCTGACATTTTTAAACAAGTTGGCCTTTACAAGATTACAGAGGAGAGACCTAAACAGCCTTACTGAGGGTCTCACAGGCGGCTAGGATTTTGGCATGAAGCTTAGTGTTCACGGTAATTGTGAATTTGAATAAATCTTGTCACCCCTGCAGCAGCAGCTCCTTAACCTCCAAGTGCTGTAATCTGGCTACCTGAGGGTTTGGTGCATCCAGCTCTCGAGCTGGAATAAAATGTGGCCCTCTGCCTTCATCACAATGCCTGGAATGGGGAGCCAGGCCCACCCTTGTGGGACAGGAACCACAGCTGCAAGGTTACCTCATTCTCTAGATCATCCCCACCCTTAGTGACATATCCTGGTTCCCCCACACACACCCCTCTGCCATGACATGCATTACAATATTCCGGAGGGGAGGAGGGAGGTGTAAGGAAATCATAGCATTGCCCATACATGACTGAAGCAAGACAAATGCACTTATTCTTAAGGCTTTGGAGTATACAGCCTTCTGCTGTATACTGGAGCAGGTAAGTGCAGGACTAAAGTGAGGGAAAATGGAGGGCTTGAAAAGGAATTAATGGGTTGTCAATCTGCATGAGCATGGGGCTGAGGAGTCCAACTGCCTTTTCACAGCAGACAGCTAACAGCACATGAATACTTGTTCCACCGCTCTGCGTAGTTGTGGGGCCATGGTAGCAGACAGAGCTGCTTCCTGCCAACTTCACTTTTGGCTTGTGCAGCTGCACATCTCTAAACAGAAGATTGCTGTACTCTTAGCTACAGCACAGCAGACGAGCCAGCTTGAGCTCAAATTCTAAGCACTCAGGGTACAAAAGGCTGACAATGTAACAACCATTGGACAGCACAGGAAGATGTTCCCACAGAGCGGCTATGGTTTGGTATATGCAAAAGTGCATGGGTAAGACCAAGACCAATTGTAAAAAGTCACTCATGGGCATTGAAGTCTAGCACAAAAATGGATAAAAAGACTGAGTAGCAGGGAGACCTTACAACTAAATTCTTGTCTACACAGGGAAATTTACACAGTTAATTTAGATTAATTTAAATCCATTTTTGGATGTTATTTAGAGTTATTTGGTTTATCTTAATCCATTTCTATACTCATTTAATTAATTTCCAAATGGAATTAAGGTAAGAGAAACCAAATTAAAGATACCTTAATTATGAATAAGAGCATCCACAAAGGGATTTAATACATGTTGGTGTGAATGTAAAATAGGTTAGTTAAAAGTTAATTTGGATTAAGTTTTCCTATGCATCTGTGTAGACAAGCCCCAAGCATGATCTTAATTAAAAAGTCTTTCAAACTGCTCCAAAAATACTTTGGGATCCTAATTCTGAAGTCAGTTCCCACTGTCCTTATGTGAGAATTAAGATTAGGCAATGACATTGTAAAAATCCCCCTTATCAGACTGTTAGTAACAAAGGAAAGGGTCTCTATTGTTTGTCCAAAGAGTGCTATAAAAGCAGCAACTCACATTTACAGTTCAGCCAGTGAAATAGCCACTCTATTAGCTGGAACAAAAAACAGGACTATGTAGCACTTTAAAGACTAACAAGAGGAAGTGGGTCTGGCCCACGAAAGCTCATCACCTAATAAACCATCTTGTTAGTCTTTAAAGTGCTACATAGTCCTGTTTTTTGTTCCAGCTACACCAGACTAACACGGCTACATTTCTATCTCTATTAGTTAGAACATTAGTGAAGCAATCAACTAGATGCAAATGGTGAACGATACCCAATACTGATGGTTACTTACTACCCTCTAATCAAATATTCCCTGCTTATATTTAAAGCCCTGCAAATTCATGGATATCCTCAGCTCATTTTTGCAAATGTGGATACAAATTTTGTATCTAGAACCATGCAAATCTGCAGATATCCATAGGTATCTGCAGATGCATATATCAATGCAGATATTCTTGGGTAATTTCTGTGGATATAAAGGCACAGGACTCTTCTTAAAGATAGGGAGCTGTTTACGGATTTCCTCTGCTGCATAGCACTGACATTATGATGCAATGTAATATTACCGTGTTTCTATTTAACTTCTCCTTTGACTTTCCTCTGAAGCATTACAATATCCAGCCAAAGTCTCTGTAAGCAGCATGGATATCAAAGCACCACAGTGCACGACTATTATGGGATTCAACATTTTCAATTAGCATTTGTTCGCTCTCTTGCACACACAGAGCACTGTTTCAGTGAGACCCAACAAAGTGCATTGGCCCCCTTGTTTGGATGCAGCTATAGTGGTAGAGATGCTTTATGGCAGTATAGCTATTCTCAAATGTGAAGCTAAGCAGTTGTAGAGGTTGTACCTCCAAAATCCAGGACTCTCTGGTCTGGCAACATCTGTGGTTTAGGAGAGTCCGGGAGCCCAGGAAGGCCAGCCAGGCGGGACATCAGGCCTGGTTGGGTGCAGCATGGGAGCGGGGCTGGAGCCCTCCGGCAGCCGCCAGGAGTGCGAGGTTGGGGTTGGAGCCCTGTGATTTCCCCCAGCTGTGCAGGGACAGGATGGGGCTGTGTGGAGCCCCCGGGTCAGAGCCCCATCCCCAGGGCTGCTCCCAGCTGCACAGGAACGGAGTCCCACAGCAGGTGCCGGAGCCAGCAGTAGCCTGACAAGCAACCCAGCCAGGTTGGGGGGAGGGGAGAGGGTGAGTTAGGGTTGCCTGCTGGGGCAGCCTACCAGTAGCAGATGACGGACATGGAGGCTGGTGGCAGGAGATCTCCCCTGGTCTGGCAAATGCTTTTGTTTGGGACCGATCAGGTCCCAATGATGCTGGACCAGAGAGAGCCAATCTGTACTGGTATAACAATTTTGATAAAAAATATTACAGCTCTAACTGATAGCCACTGATACAAAAACAAGTATACTTTGTTAAATGGTGTTACCGTGGCCGACTCCTTAAAAGGGAGCCAGGGCCCAGTCTGTTCATTACCGATTTGAAGGAGACCAAACCAGTAAGAGTAGTAGTTAAAAAAAAGAAAAAAAAAGAAAAAGAAGTGGGTACCTAATCAAAACAAAACTCCATATTCAAGTATGAAATGGGTAAACAGAGTTCTCCAACTACATTACTGGAACAAGGCATTTCAACATACCTTTATGGAGTTAATTAACACCACCTGGGCAGTTGACTAATGAGTGCCTAAGCCTGATAAAAGGCTACCAGTGCTCAGTTGGAAGAAAGTACTACCAGAGAGAGCAACTACTCTCTGATGACCTCTGAGGACTGGACAAGGACCAATGGGCTTAAATTGTGGCAAGGGAGGTTTAGGTTGGACATTAGGAAACATTTCCTGTCAGGGTGGTTAAATGCTGGAATAGATTTTGCCTAGGGAGGTTGTGGAATCTCCATCATTGGAGATATTTAAGAGCAGGTTAAACATCCACCAGAGATGATCTAGATCCAGGGTAGAGAAGAGGCTGCCAGCAAGCCAGATCTGGCCCACAGCTGCCTCGCTGGGACCCTTAAGCACAGTGGCAGCTGCTTTAAATGTGGCTGCTCTATTGTGTGAGCGAGGAGGAAGGCTTTGTGCTGTCTCTTGTCCCGCCCCTCAGAAAAGTGTCTCAGCTGCCACTGGCCAGATTCCAATCAACAGCAGCTGAGATATTTTGCTGGCAGCAAATGAAGCTTCCTTCCTCCCCCTACTTCACCCTGCCTGGAGCAGAGCCCCATGGGAGCAGCTTGTGACTGCAGCCTTCAGGTTCATTCAGAGCTGCTGACTGGGAGATGCCAAGGTAAGCGCCTCCTAGCCAGAGCCTGCCTCTGGCACCCGCACCCCGGCCACCATCCAAACTCTCTGTATCCCTTTTCCCCAGGTCACAACTCCCTCCCAAACCCCGCACCTATAGTCTCTCCCTCAGGCCAGAATCCTCTCCTGCACCCATATTCCCTCCTGGAGTCTGCATCCCAAGCCTCTACCTCAGATCACAACCCTCTCTCCTTCATCCCAACTCCCCCTCAGGCGCCACACCCCCCCACACACACACCTCAGTATCCTACCCCATGTTCCCTTCTGCGCCCAATCTTTGTCCCAGGCCCCAAAGCCCCTCAGTAGAAATGCGGCCCTTGACCACTTTCCAAAATCTTGGGAGTGGCCCATTAAAATGTACTACCCACCCCTAATCTAGATGGTGCTTGGTCCTGCCGTGAGGGCAGGGGACAGGACTTGATGATCTCTCAAGGTCCCTTCCATTTCTAGTGTTCTATGATTCTATACCCAAGACTCAGAAGTGACAATATTGACCTATAAACGTGCCAAGGGGACAAATGAAAGCAGTAAGTAAAAAGAGGCTGAGGATTACACCTAGCCTGAATTGTAACCCTACTCGAAGGGAGCTGTGGATGCCTGATCAGATGTGCTTGTCTTTATCCTGCATAGTAATCCAGCTTCAGGAGACATGCTAAAGACTCCTGAAGTTGAGAGTCTTAACCATAGGGCTGAAAGGTTGGACTTCAGGGACTAACTGTGTTAAACAGGAGTGGAAAGAGGAGCTGTACTCTGTAAAAAGAATTAGTAAGATCTCCACAACTGAGCATCTTGTTCTCAATCCCTAGGTTTGTATAAGTCTCTGAAAGACCCAAAGAGGGAGACAGATGGCAGTAGGTCAAGGATAGGGAACCTGCAGCCTGCCTTGATCCAGCCTGGGTCTTTGCCTCCTCCCCATCCTGTAGCAGGGAGCCAGTGCTCCATCAAGGCAAGCCACAGGCTGCATCCAGCCCACAGACTGCCTGGCAGGAGGGAAGAAGTGGCTCTGTGCACTGCTGTTCCCCCGACCCCAGGGAGAATGCAGTTCAGACAAGTTCTGTTCCTGCACTTTCTTGCAGGCTTCACCCCAGTCACTCCCAATGACCAGGAACTGCAGCCAATGACAGCAGCAGAGAATGGTGCCCAAAAGCACGGGGTGGCATAGGACCACCTATGCCATTCCCAGAAACTGCACCAGGTGGGTGCCCCAATTCCCCACCCCACTCC